AAAGTTGTGCATCGTTATCATAAAAAGAAAAAGGCTACGAAAAATAAATCTTTCGTTCCTAGATATAAGAGTAATTTTGTACCTAATTGTTTCTATTATGGTATTATAGGCCATACACCTAATGCATACTATGTTATAAATTTCAGTATAGCAAGCGGGCATTATGTGCAGGTTAAAAAGGACACTAATTATGAAGGACCCAAAGCAACTTGGGTACCTAACAAGAAGTAATATGTTTTGTAGGTTTGCTTGAAGACCACTTCAAATCTTTGGTATCTTGATAGTGGTTGTTCGAAGCATATGAACAGTGACCTCAACAAATTTTCAAATCTAAAGCTTAAGGCCAAGGGTTATGTTACTTATGGTGACAATAACAAAGGAAGGATTCTTGGCATAGGCAAAGTTGGAGCACCACCTTTCACATCTATTGAGGATGTCCTTTATGTCGAAGGACTAAAGCACAACCTACTTAGCATAAGCCAATTATGTGACAAAAGATTCAAAATTAACTTTACAAAAGATGAATGCTTGATAGAAGACGAAGTCACTAAAGATGTAAAGCTAAAAGGTAAAAGAGTCAATAACATATTTATGATTTCTCTTGACAATTTAGCTTTGAAGGTTAAATGTCTCATGGAAAACAATAATGATTCATGGTTATAGCATAAGAGATTTGCTCATATACACATGGAACATTTAAACAAGTTGGTTAAACATGACCTAGTTGTAGGTTTTCCTAAGATCAAATTCATCAAGGATAAGTTGTGTCACGCATGTCAAAAAGGGAAACAGACCAAATCAACTTTCAAGTCAAAGAATGTGGTGTCCACTACAAGGCCACTATAATTGTTACACATGGACTTATTTGGTCCATCAAGAACAAAAAGCTTCGGAGGTAATGTTTATGCTTTGGTTATCATTGATGATTATTCTAGATTTTGTTGGACTTACTTTATAGTGCAGAAAAGTGATGCTTTCAAAACATTCAAGTTTACGAAACAAATTCAAAAGCGTTAACAATTGTCTCCATAAGAAGCGACCATGGTGGAGAATTCAAAAATGCTCCGTTTAAAGAATTTTGCGAAGAATATGGAATCTCTCACAACTTCTCGGCACTAAGAACTCCCTAACAAAATGGTGTTGTAGAAAGAAAGAATAGATCATTGGTAGAACTTGCAAGAACGATGCTAAGCAACTCGAATCTTCCAAAATACTTTTGGGTGAATGCGGTTAGTATGGCATGTTTTGTAAGTAATTGTGTTAATATTAAGCCTATTCTTAAAAAGACTCCCTATGAACTTTTCAAAGGGAGAAAACCAAATATTTCTTATTCTCGTATCTTTGGATGTAAGTGCTTTGTCTTGAATAATGACAAAGACAACCTTGATAGGTTTGACGAGAAATCTGACGATGGCATTTTTCTCAGTTACTCTCTCTCTAGTAAGGCTTTTAGAATTTACAATAAAAGAACTTTAACTATTGAAGAATCTATGCATGTTAAATTTGATGAATCTAATCCCTCCAAGGAGGAAGTCATTTTGTGTGATGAAGATGATGATATTCTAGATATTCCCGAAGAAGGTAATTCTAAAGCAAATGATCAACCTAAGCAACAAATTCAACAAGAGACAAAATATGATGATTTACCAAAGAAATGAAGGACACATAGAGATCACCAGATCGATAAAGTTATTGGTGATATTAGTCAAGGCCTTACAACAAGACTCGATCTTAAGGATGCATGTTTAAATATGGCGTTCGTATCTCAAATTGAACCTTATAAAGTTGATGGAGCCTTAGAAGACGACCAATGGATCATTGCCATGCAAGAAGAATTCAACCAATTCGAGAGGAATCAAGTTTGGGAGCTTGTTCCTATACCAAGTAATAAGCACATCATTGGTACCAGATGGGTGTTTAAGAACAAAATTGACGAAAACGGGATAATTGTTCGAAACAAGGCAAGATTGGTGGCCCAAGGGTATAATCAAGAAGAAGGAATCAACTTTGAAGAAACTTTCGCTTTGGTTGCAAGGTTAGAGGCTATTCGGTTATTTCTTGCTTATGCCTGTTCTTTGAATTTTCTGTTGTACCAGATGGACGTTAAGAGCACATTCCTTAATGGATACATCATTGAAGAAGTCTATGTTAAGCAACCCACGGGATTCGAAGATTTCAAGAATCCATCTCATGTCTTCAAGTTGAGAAAGTCTCTTTATGGCTTAAAGCAGGCTCCAAGGGCATGGTATGATCAACTCAACAATTTTCTGTGCAAGAAAGGATTTGAAAAAGGTAAAGTTGATAAGACCTTATTCATTAAACGAATTAGGGATAACAATTTGCTAGTTTAAGTCTACATTGATGACATTATATTTAGATCGACTAATAAAGACCTATGTGAGGAATTCTCATTGATGATGCAAGGAGAGTTTGAAATGTCTATGATGGTCAAAATGAATTATTTCCTTGGACTTCAAATAAAGCATATGAAGGATGGCATCTTCATCAACCAATCAAAGTATTGCAAAGAGCTATTGAAAAGATCTGATATGGATGGTTGCAAGGCTATGTTTACTCCGATGGGATTAGGAACATATGTTGATCAAGATGAATCAGGAATCTCAGTTGATATCATAAAGTACCGAGGTATGATTGGTTCTCTTTTATATTTGACAGCAAGCCGTCCTGACATTATGTTTAGTGTGTGTCTATGTGCGCAATTTCAAGAAAATCCGAAGGAGTCACATCTCACCGTTGCGAAGAGAATCATGAAGTATCTCAAAGGAACAACAAATGTTGGATTATGGTATCCCAAAGGTAGTATATATAATCTTGTAGGTTATTTTGATTCAGACTATGCAGGATGTAAGACAGATCGCAAGAGCACAAGTGGAACTTGTCATATACTTGGAAATGCATTAGTATCTTAGTCATGTAAGAAGTAAGCATGTGTTGCACTTAGCACAACTGAAGCATAATACATTGCGGCTGGAAGTTGTTGCGCTCAGATTCTTTGGCTCAAACAACAGTTACACGACTATGGATTAAATCTTGGATGCGTTCCTCTTAGGTGTGATAATACGAGTGCGATCAATATTACAAAGAATCTTGTGATGCATTCAAGAACAAAACACATCGATATCAGACACTATTTCCTGCGAGACCATGTTCTACAAAAGAATGTTGAAGTAACATTTGTCGATACTTATAATCAACTGGGAGACATCTTCCCCAAACCACTTCCAAGAGAACCATTTTACAAAATCTGAAGAGAACTTGGAATATTAGATGAAAGTGACATATAATCTTCAATGGTAATTCATTATTTTTCATAAAAATAATGCAAAGGTATTTCTTTCTAAGTCTTTGTATTTTGGTTATATGTGAAAAATTACCAAGTTTTATATCTTCATTTTACATAAGCTAAAATTATGTATTTTGACTTGTGTAACTTTTTATCATAGGCATTATGTACTATACTAACATATTTGAATATTAAGTTGTGAAAACTTTCATGTGGTAAAGAGAAAAAGGTTACTGTTTTTTTTGCATGAAGTAACCGGTTACCCATTTTGAGTAACTGGTTACCACTGTTACGTTTTCAACTCTATGAGATTTTTGTGTGGAGGTAATCAGTTACCCAGTTGAAGTAACCGGTTACCATTGATCGTATTTCAGATTTTTTTTATAAAAACAACCAGAATTAGAAAAGTTCTTAAAACTCGATCCTTTACTCTTCCCACTCTCTAAGCACTTATTGTTCAAGACTTAAAAGACTCTCTTTGAAGGTAGGAAAACACTTAGAAGGGGGGAGGTTGAATAAGGGGCTTTCAAAAACAATTATGACAATAGAAAAAAACAAGTTATTTTTATCCTGGTTCATTTGAACTCAAACTACTCCAGTCCACCCGGCCAAGGTGATTTCGCCTCTCTCAAACGAGGACTTAATCCACTAAATCAAAACTTGATTACAGTGATTTCCACTAAGACAACTGTCTTAGTCTTCTCAAGAATCCTGACCACAACTTGGTCTCTCAAGGAACTTTTACAAAGAGTAAATTACAAATGTGTTTAAGGTGCTTCTAAAAAGATATTATCACAACTGTGATTTTTAC